TTCAAGGCCAGCCTGGTCTACAAAGTGACTTCCAGATCAGCCAGAGCTACACAGAGAAATCCTGTCCAGCGGTGGGAGTGGGGGTAGGGGTGGGGATGGGGAAACCTTCAAGGAAAACCAAGATACATTTTGTTTGCTTTGTTTTTAAAAAAGCACTCTAATGTAATTGCTATAGAGGTAGTTCAAGGTTCAGAAACTTAGAAAGAACAGGTTTGTAAATGACAAATCCCCAACAACTTCTTCAGGTATCTGATGGGGGAAGTCCTTACGTATATATGTTTCTCTTATTGGTTGATGAATAAAACACTTTGGCCAATAAGGCAGGAAGATAGGTGGGACTAAGAGATGAGGCGAATTCTGAGAAAGGATGCCATGTGGAGACCAGGAAGATAAGACACACTAGGCATTCTCCGGTAAGATAAGGCCATGTAGAAATACACAGACTAGTAGATATGGGTTAGTAATTAAGAGAAAGCTAGTCAATAAGAAGCCTAAGCCATCGGCCAATGGTCTTATAGTTAATATAAGTTCCTGTGTGTTTATTTGGGGCTGAAGGGGCTGTGAGATAAGGAGGGAAAGAGAAACTAACAGCAGATATCAAATAATGGGTATATGTTGCCCAAGTCTTTACCCAAAATTCAGTAATAATTACATAAGAAGAACAACCTAACACAAGACAATCCATGCTGAAACAAAATCTCTCCATATAACTGTTTTACCTAAACCACAGCTGAAACCCAATTCACAATTAAAGACTATTAAGCAGAGAGGTGTCAGTTCAGACTCTACAATCAATAAAACTAACATGCAGTAGGCCAAAGCACCATATTTGCCTGCTCCCGTGGTAGGTACAATATGATTCTCACATGATGGAAGGAGTTTTGTCAATTAAACTATAAAATACAAGCCACTATGCATTTTTATGGTTACTCAGTCCTTGGATCTGACAGTGAAACAGCATTAAGTAAACATATAACTATTGACTGGAACAGGGAAATAAAAATTAGGAACTATTAGCCTTAATGTTTAAGAAAACAAGATATATCTTTGTTGCATGGATGTGGATCATTTGGGTATATGCCTAAGAGGGGGATTGCCAGGTCCTGTGGTAGATTAATTCCCATTTTCCTGAGGAACCACCATACTGATCTCCAAAATGACTGAACGAGTTTGCACTCCCACCAGTAGTGGAGGAGTGTTCCCCTTTCTCCACATCCTCTCTAGCATGAGTTGTTACCTGTGTTTCTAATTTTAGCCATTCTGGCAGGAATAAGATGGTACCTCAAAGTTGTTTTGATTTTCATTTCCCGGATAGCTAAGGATGTTGAGCACTTTCTTAAGTAAGTGTCTTTCAGCCTTTTTGATTTTCTCTATTGAGAATTCTTTCTTCAGTTCTGTACCCCACTTTTAAATAGGGTTACTTGGTGTTTTCTTGACTAGTTTCTTGAGTTCTTTGTATATTTTTGGAGATCAGCCCTTTTTCAGATGTAGGATTGGTAAAAATCTTTTCCCAGTCTGTGGGCTGCCATTTGATCTTGTCCACTGTGTCATTTGCCTTACAGAAGCTTCTAAGTTTGAGGAGGTCCCATTTATTAATTGTTGATCTCAGTGTCTGTGCTACTTGAGTTATGTTCAAGAAGCAGTCTCCTATACCGATTTGTTCAAGGGTACCTCCTACTTTCTCTTCTAAGAGATTGAGTGTGGCTGGATTGATGTTGAGGTCTTTCATCCATTTGGACTTGAGTTTTGTGCATGGCGACAGACATGGGTCTATCTGCAGTCTTCTACACACCCTCATCCAATTGTGCCAGCACCATTTGTTGAAGATGCTGTTCTCGCCCCATTGTACAATTTTAGCTGTTTTGTCGAAAATCAGATGTTCATAGGTGTGTAGGTTAATATCAGAATTTTCTATTTGATTCCATTGGTCTACCTGTCTATTTTTGTGCCAATACCAGGCTGTTTTCAGTACTATAGCTCTGTGGTAGAGCTTAAAGTCAGGGATGGTGATGCCTCCTGAAGTTCTTTTATTGTACAGGGTTGTTTTCACTATCCTGGGTCTTTTGTTTTTCCATATAAAGTTGATTATTATCCTTTCAAGGTCAGTGAAGAATTGTGCTGGGATTTTAATGGAGATTGCACTGAATCTGTAGATTGCTTTTGGCAAGATTGCCATTTTTACTGTATTTATCCTACCTATCCAAGAGCATGGGAGATCTTTCCATTTTCTGGTATCTTCTTTAATTTCTTCCTTTAAAGCCACAAAGTTCTTATTATATAGGTCTTTCACTTGTTTGGTAAGCATTATTGCACGATACTTTATGTTGTTTGTGGCTATTGTAAAGGGTGATGTTTCTCTGACTTCTTTCTCAACCTCTTTGTTGTCTGAATAAAGTAGGGCTACTGATTTTTTTGAGTTTATCTTGTATCCTGCTAGTTTGCTGAAGGTGTTTATCAGCTGTAGGAGTTCCCTGGTAGAGTTTATTGGATTGCTTATGTAAACTATCATATCATCTGCAAATAGAGATAGTTTGACTTCTTCCTTTCCAATTTGGATCCCCTTGATTCCTTTGGTTGTCTTATAGCTTTAGCTAGAACTTCAAGTACAATATTGAAGAGATATGAAGAGAAAGGGCAGCCTTGTCTTGTTCCTGATTTTAGAGGAATCGTCTTAATCTTCTCTCTATTCAGTTTGATGTTGGCTGTTGGTTTACTGTATATTGCTCTTATTATGTTTAGGTATGTTCCTATTATCCCTGATCTCTCCAAGACCTTTATCATGAAAAGGTGTTGAATGTTGTAGAAGGCTTTTTCAGCATCTAGGGAGATGATCATATGCTTTTTCTTTTTCAGTTGTTTATATAGTGGATCACGTTGATAAGAGTTTTGTATGTTAAACCATCCCTGCAACCCAGGGATGAAACCTACTTGGTCATGGTGGATAATTTCTCTGATGTATTCTTGGATTCAATTTGCCAGTATTTTATTGAATATTTTTGCACCGATGTTCATCAGGAATATTGGTCTGTAGTTTTCTTTCTTAGTTGTGTCTTTGTGAGGCTTGGGTACCAAGGTGATTGTGGCCTCGTAGAAAGAGTTTGGTAATGAACCTTCTGTTTCTATTGTGTGGAACAAAGCATTATTTGTAATAGCAAGAAAAAGCATTATTTGTAATAGCAAGAACCTGGAAGCAACCTAGATGCCCCTCAACTGAAGAAAGGATAAAGAAGATGTGGCATATCTACACAATGGAATACTACTCTGCAGAAAAAAAATAATGGAATCTTGAAATTCGCAGGCAAGTGGATGGCACTTGAAGAAACCATCCTGAATGAGGTAACCCAGTCACAAAAAGAAGAACATGGTATGTACTCGCTCATATATGGATTTTAGACCTAGAGCAAAGGACCACCAGCCTATAATTCACACCACCAGAGGAACTAGGATACAAGGTGGATTCTAAGAGATTCATATATGGTCCCTCACAAAAGGGGGAAGGGACAAGTTCCCCAGAGCACAGGGGAAGTGGGGGGGGCAGTGAATGGAGAGAGAAGTAGGAGAAAGAGAAGGGGAGGAGAGGAAAGCACATGCGACCAGGAAGATCAAGTCAGGGTAGGAATAGAAGACAGAAGAGAAAGAGACAGGGGGGGGGGAAGGGGGGAAGGAGGGGAGAGAGAGAGAGAGAGAGAGAGAGAGAGAGAGAGAGAGAGAGATATGACATAAAAGAGGGAGCCATTATTGGTTTGAGGAGAAAACTGAACCTAAAGAAAGGTCTAGAGACCTACAAGACTGACTCCAACTAACAATTTGAGCAACCGTAGAAAGGCTACCATAAATGCCCTTCCTTGATAATGAGTTCAACAACTAACTTATCCACCATCATGGAGCCCTCATCTAGTACCTTTTGGAAACAGAAGCAAACTCCTATATCTAAACACTGAGTCAAACTAGAATCCAGATGCAGAGACAGAGGACAACACCAGGTTGTAGAAACACATAGAGACAGCTGACCTGAACAATGAGGTGCTAGCTCAGACTGATAGCTGGGAATCCAGCATGGGACTGACTCAGACCCCCTGATCATGGGTCTTAGCTAGAAGGACTGAGCAGTCTAAGGGACCTCAGACAGTGGAACCAGGATGTATTCCTGGTGTACAAAAGGACCTTGTGGACACATCCCCATGGAGAGATACTCCCTTAACCTAGAGACAGGAGAGAAGTCCTAGTCCCTACTTCAAATGACTTGACAGATTTACATGACCCCACCTGGATGGCATAGCCCTACATGTGGAATGGGGGTGGGGGGATGGGAGGGGAGGGTGGTCAGGGTGCATGTGAGGGGGCAAAGAGGATAAGAAGGAGAGAGGGAGGGAAGGAAGGAGGGAGGGAGGGGGAACTGGGATGACATGTAAAATAAAATTAAAAAAAAAAAAAGAAAAACAAAATATAGGAAACACTGGGAAGCAACAACTGCTTTGACATTAAATAAGCCAAAATAAAATTTACTTAGTTTTACAGGCATGTCCATTATGCCTACTTATGCTTTTAATTTCTTTCTAAACCTGACTGACTGCTATTTGTGGTTCTTCTGTGTTTTCCTCTTTCTGTCGTTCTGGGAAAGAAGCTATTGTATCTGGGTAGATATTCTGCTGCTGATCAAAATGACGGGTACTGCTGTGAGACAGCACAATGTTCCACTCCATTCACCCTTGCTCAAACCCCAGTAAACACATATAAACTCTAAGACTAGGAGAAACCTCAATGATGAATAGATTCCAAGCAGGTGAGACAGGGAGGCTCTTAGACACCCACACACCAGCAGCAGAGGAAAACAACATAAAGACTATTACACTGTACCTAGCTAGGAAGGACCTTAGCACGGCTTACTTCTATCTCCTTTTAGAACATGCGTCATTGACCACACCAGAGGAATAATCATATGACTAGAATCATAAATGGAAAGAGAAGTATGTCCACTCTTATGAAGGATTTTAAACGTAGGCCAATGATACATTTTGGCATATAGTATCTGAATTTACTGCTGAACTCTACTGACACTTCAGCTCTAGAATTCTGCTGGAACACTGCTAGTGTGACTCACCTGTCTGAACATCGATAACCATCTGATGGCCCCCTCTCATTCCTGGTCGGTTATCTTCTCCATCACCTGCAGAAGAAGAAGCATTTTCTATAATGAGATAATAAAACTTGCAATTCTAGGAGAAACCTCATTTGTAACTCTATAAAAGATAGTAACACTCCATATGTACACCATCAAAGTATTATAAATAATGAAAGGAAGAATAAAGGAAGAAATTTCTCTGTTTCAACTATTCAAAAGGTTACAGGGTTCTAGGAAATGATGTGTGTGTGCCGAGGGTCAAGCCCACGACCCCACAAAGGACAAGCAACTATTCCACCACTGAGTTCTACTCTAGGCCCTAAGATTACAGGATTCTAATATCACATTCAATATGAACCAGAAAGCCTGAGGTTTTCATCATTTATCTCCCATTAGCTGAAATAAATTATTTGGCAAATGAACTTCCTTGATCTTTATATGTAAAAGTGACATCATCTAACTCTGTACCCCTGAGTTTCACAGGGAAATGAAGTTTTTATACAGGTGTGAGTTACTGATGAGGAACACTTTCTGAGAAATGCATCATTAGGCGATTCTGTCTTTGTAAACAAACGTCAGAGAGTATATTAACCGAAATCTCCATGGGATTTCCTACTGTACACCTACATAGGAATGTTTCAGCTCAATTAAAAGCTCATGGGATTACCATTATTGACCAAATGAAACACATGATTATACACAGAAATAGAACATGAAGCCAAATCACTGTACTCAACAATTCTTCTTCCTTCTTGATAGCTAGGTGTCTATCACTGAGATCACAGGTCACTATCACTGAGGTCACAGGTCACTATCACTGAGGTCACAGGTCACTATCACTGAGGTCACAGGTCACTATCACTGAGGTCACAGGTCACTATCACTGAGGTCACAGGTCACTATCACTGAGGGCTCACAGGTCAAAGGTCACTATCACTGAGAGAAGAGAAAGCCTTGGAAACATAGGAAGACCACGAGAAACAACTGAATACCTTGAGAGCCACCTTTCTTCAATGGAAGCATGTGCAGTAAAACACTGCTCCAATCTGGCAAGAGTGAATGCACACAATAAAGTAACAAAAATTTGCTCTCACAAAAATAATGGGTTAGTGAAGAAGACTAAATTCTGAGTCAGATTTTGACTTTTGAAAAACAAAACAAAAACAAAGCAGTCCCTATTAGAAGTAAATGCTCCCTAGGATCTGTGTCTCCAAGAAATGTGCATGAGATGTGGTCACTAAGGCACTAAGCCTTTAAGCTTCAACTATACGGTGATTTAATTAGAATTACTGTCAACCTTTATTAGTATCTGTGTATAAATTTCTTCATCTGTCCCTCTTATTCTCAAAGGTCCTGCTATGTTTAGTGAGCGAGTCTGCAGATCTTAGGTTTCCAGGAACACCTATGGCGGCATCACAGATTCCCATCATTTTACACACTTCTAAGAAAGTAGTTTGTGACAGCGATTTTTTGTGAAGAACAGACAACCTTGATCAACGTTTTGTCATAGTGATGAAACAAGAATTTAAAAGATAATTTTAATACAATAACCTGGGGCTGGATTTGGAGCTCACTCGTAAGAGTGCTTACCTAGTATGTACAAGGCCCTGAGTTCAGTCCCTAGCCTCAGGAGAAAAAAAAAAAAAAAAAAAAACAAAAACCAAAAATGATGTATAATAAGCCACTCTGCCACTTAGCTAAGGAACCTATGCTCGCTCTATGAGAAAGCCTGCTCTTTATGAACAGATGCTTGGGCCATCCAAAAACAGGCTGTAAAGACACAGAGAACAGTGCAGCTCACCTTTGGTGCTCTTAGGAATGATCTGACTCCACCTCGGCTTATACTCCTGCTGACTGATGTACTGATTGAACAAGCCATCTGCAAGTGTCAAAAATAAGAATCAGAGCTCAGCTGGCTCTTCAACCTCCCAGTATGCTCCCCAAATATAAATAAATAGTAAATGGTTAGTTGACACAACAATAGAAACAAATTGCATCAGCAGCAGCCCATATTAAGCTTGTTCCCATGATTACTACATTAGTTGCTATAATTTACTACTGCACTCATGAATAAGTATGTGACTTCAACAAGGACCCTGGAAGAAGGAAAACACGGAGAGGGAAAAGTCAAGGTGACAAGTCAGGGCTGGAAACCAGAAGCAGCAGAAAATAGCTAATAAGTAATCTGAAGCATGGCTGTATACACCTTAAATATAATTTTTGGCATCAACATAAGTACAAACAGAAAAAGAAAGAATATTCAAGGCCAGAAAAAACATTTGCTTTCTGGTGATTTTCCACTACAATTCATTATCTTATTTCCTTACCGCCCACAATGAATATATTATTGAATTCCAGTGTCTTCCCCTTGAAGACTGCACAGATTTTGTTACCAGATTATCAAAAACAAACAAACAAACACACAAAATGCACCTAAATAAGGAAATATGAACACCAACAGCTTTGGTGTAGGCACTTTATAGTACAACCTCAGAGAAAGAGAAAACCCTTTAAAATGCAAATTCCAGTTTTCTTTGGGTACAAAGTGGCAGATAAAAGCACCGCCAGAAGCAACAGAACTGTATTTAATGATTCTGCCAAATGTTAAAATCTGTTTTGTCTCAGTTTAAAACCTTAATTCTAAGATAGACCTAAGAAGGATTTGCATCTCCTCTTCTAAGATGGAGAAGTACACATTTAGAGAATTAAGGAACTGTATCAAACTCACACATACCTTAGGTAGTGGAGCTAGCTAGCACTTGAGTTCCACTTTGCTTTTCTTCTGAACGTTTCCTCAGTAAACTTTTCATCTACTCTCTGAGGAGGGAGTTTTACACTAGTAATCACAAGTATATGGAAACTGTACTTCCCATACATCTACTCTACTCCAAATGATTATTACACCCTACACCCATGCCGGTCACAAATTTACAAATGATGTACAGAATCAAATTCTGGGTAACAAAACAGGAAGAATCTTCTAGGTCTTCTAGAGGACTTGTAAGCAATGTTTCAGTGCTTCTGAACAGACATACAGCCAAGAAAAAAAGGTACTTTCATCTTCTGGACACAGTTTTATTTATTTGTGTGTGTGTGTGTGTGTGTGTGTGTGTGTGTGTGTGTGCGCGCGCGCGCCCGCGTGTGCACTCGTGTGTGAGTGTGTATCTTCTAAATCCCATTCTTAGAGCTAGAGAAAGAGTCAATTCTATAGTAATGACTGAACAGAGAAATATAAAGAAAGCAGATCACTGAATCGACCAACCAGGAAAGCCACCTCGTCCCTGGACTTCTTGGTAAGTCATGCAATGACATTTTCTTACCAAGCTAGAGTTTTCTTCCACATGTACCCAATAGATAACTGACACTGTGCTCATTCTCTTATCACTTCTGTCCTTTGACTCTGATTTCTATCAATGAGGATTTTCCTGTGTCACTGAAACAAAGCCATATTCAAAAATGCTCTCTTTTCTGTAACTTGCATGCTTGGAATTTAAAGGACCTCCCTTTAATTTAGTGAATGGACCTATGACATAATTCCATAATTTTGGAGTCTTGCTTTATTCAGGCTTCCTGATCAAAACCTCCTTTGTCATAGGTTTTGGGAATCTTTCCTCCTCTTCCACATAAAACATGTTGGACTCCTGTTCATTCCTGTTCATTGCAGCAGTGGTAATAGAAAAATAAAGCAACAACAACAAAAATTAACCATAAGCTCAATACTGCATAAACACAATTTTATTTAGCTTTGAAAGGGAAATACAAACGTTTTTAAAAATTAAAAAGAGTGTAAAAATCATTAGAGAACGAGGCTAGCCTGTGGAAATGGCTCAGTGGGTTAGTACGAGGATGAAGCTTGAGTCACCAGAACCCAAGTGAAGCCAGGTGTGTGAGGCATACCTGTAACCTCAGTGCTCTACAGGCAGAGGGGAGGTGGGGACAGCGCCTTGTGTGGCTTGTGGGCCTGGGACCCCGGCACAGGCAGAAGGGGAGGATTGACACCGCAGTTTGCACCCCGATACATTGAACCTGCTATGCACATCCCCATCATACAAACTCAGGCAATAAGACATGTGTAACACAAAGACCTACACTTTTAAAATATACATTATTAATTCTACTTATCAGCAGAGACTGGGGAGGGTGATGTAAATATATACGGAAAACTGAAGGTGTGCAAAACACAAAGTTAAAAAAAATCAAAAAACTACAATGGAAAAATTGTAAATTTCACTTTTCTGTTTGTTTTTTGAGACACTACCTCACTATGTAGCCTTGGCTGGCCTGGAACTCACTATGTAGAGGAGGCTGGCCTAGAACTCACAGAGATCCCTGCCTCCGCCTCTGGGTGCTGAGATTAAAGGTGTGGGCCATCATGTCTTTTCCCATTTTCTGTTAATTTTTTAAAATTAGCATGTATTTCTTTCTCTGTCCCCTTTCTCCTTCCATTGTCCCTTTTTGACAGAGTTTATGTATCCCAGTCTGGTCTCAAACTCACTATTTAGCTGAGTATGGCCCTGAGCTCCTGATCCTCCTGCTGAGCAGACTATGATTACCCATGCCTGTCCTCTGTGTATGGAATACTGCATGACACTCAGGGCTTCGAGCATGCTAGACAAGCACTTACCAACTGATGTACCTCAATGAGGAATTTAAAGATGCTTTAAAAGAAATCACATCGGTTTTAGGAGGTCAAACAGTTACTAATATTTCAGTAAGTTTATTTCTGACAAAAACCTGAAACAGGAAATCAGAAGTCCAACAAAAGTAAAACAACCTAAAGAAATTGAAATATCTCTCAGAGAAAAGCACACTAGTAATAAGTTGCTAATGATTTTCCAACTATTTAACTTAAGGGCCTCAGCTTCAACCCCACTTCATGTTTCCTGGGACTGTGATGAAAAATAAACACAATACAGCCTTCACTGGGCACACAGAAACACTTTAAAAACATCTGATTAAACATGAGACC